TTTCTCTTCTTTTCCTCTCGCTCGTTTCTCCTTCCTCTTAATCTTGTCTTCTTCCATAAGTTCTAAGAATTTGTTGAAGTTTTTGGTCTCATCAAATAATTTTTTCGCTCGTATCTCGAACTACTAAAGAGCTTTGTCTCGTTTTCCCCCTATTATTTCTAAATCGAAAGGAGGTTCTAGCAATATTGATCGTGCGTTAGCCGGAGTCTCCTCGTTAAAAATCTAGCCTGATTGAAGCGGGCGCTAGGAGCAATCTCTCCCGGCTCTAATTATTATCTCACGTTAATCCATTAAATGCAGTATTTACATCATAAATCCTTCTGTCGTCGGAGCAAGTGTCACGCAATTATATTCAGAGCGGCCACTCGCGCAAGTGCGTCCTTCGAATGCGTGTTCCGAGAGGAGCTTTCAGCAAAAATCTCCACAATTTCGTCACAGTCCCGCAGAACTTAGTCACTCGCCGCCCGTCGGATCATTGGAATCGTATCTTTTTAGTCGCCAATGAAAACGCAATAATATACATAAGTATAGAGAGAGAGAGTTTGACCGGTTGTGTGCTGCGTTCTGATTGGTCGCGCAAAACAGGACTTCATGGAGCTTCCAAGTTGCAGAAAGTTCAAAAATACTGGCCGGTTCCTGTAATCCGGCGTTTTTCTCTAGCGGCCCCAGTTTCTCGATAAACGTGCAATTTCAAAAGACTGATTTGAAGAAAATTGTTCTATGTGCGCATGAAAGGAGGGACATTAATAAGGACCGTGTTTGGGCCCGTCCCGAGTTTCCTCAAATCAACGATGTCTTCCACATTGAGGATCTATACTTTCCGGAATACATTATGATTCGGTCCTTTCCGGTCTCTTCTTAGGTCTAAAACTGGCCTAAAAATGAGTTTGATGGTCGATTTTTATGAGAAATGCATGTTTGCAGTCGCATCCAGGAAAATCCGCATTTTCCGCCAAAATCGGCCCTCAGACCCAGATTTATGCCAGTATTAGAACTGAAAACAGACCGAATATGACCAAATCATGATGCACTCCATAAAACGTAAACCGTCAATGCGCATAGCATCGTTGAGGAAATTCAGTGAGGACGGCCCAAAAACGACCCTTATCGACACCCCTCCTTTGTAAGTGCGCTAAAAAAATTAAAGGAAATTATTCTTCGCGCTAAGTTAACAAGAAGGAGTCGATTCCCCAGCTGCGACAAAAGAAGGCAAATGGAAAAAAAAACATCGAGCGGAAACCTGTTTTTATGTCCTGTAGACGGAAACGCATCTGAAATCGGGTCCAAGAATATCTAAAAAATGACAGGGGACGAAGTGTCAACCGCATTGCAATCGTGATCCACTTGGCACTTGATCCGGGCGCGGAAAGTCGAAACGCCTTCAGTTTTTTGCTTATGCAACACGCGCATCCGAAGAGCACGAATAGTTGTATCCAGGTTCCCAGGGGTTACGAATCAACGCAACGTCGCGTCGCGTCGTGCACCGCCTATCTAAGAGTGCACCAACTGGACGTATTCCTATCCAACGGAACTATGTGCATTATGCCGTGAGCCCTTTTATGCACATATTCTTATGGGTCTCAGGGATCATGTCTTCATGCACATAGTTCCGTTTAACGTTGGTCCCTGTTCATTGGCAATTATTTTGGGGAGTTCCTCCGAGAAAAACCCATGTTCGGAGTTAAGTATTTCCTGTGCGAGGACCAACGACGATGCTGCCTCGAAAGCTCGAGCCAAATGGCTCAAGAGCCGTGAGCGGAGCGTTTTCGTCGTGTAGGAAACGCCACAACGGGGTCATTGTGCAATGCAACGCGCTGCTGAGTAACTTTCCCAACGAAGAGCGACCGACAACATAACGAACGATTAAGCATTGCAGTAGCAACCACCGGAGAATGCAAACGGGAAACTGGGGCTCCTGCATGCCACTCCGATCCAACCATGACCAGGGTGCTACCTCGCTGAAAAAGCACCGCTATACCTTCATGCCGTCCTCAGGAAAAACCTTCTATGGGCTTTCGAGAGTTGCAACATTTTTCCGCATAAAACATGTGTTTTTCAAGAAAGTCATATTTTCAGATGTTTTAGATTATGTATCGCGAACAAAATTGTCTCAATTTTGAAGAAAGATATTCAGAATTTTCCCGGTAAATTAGTTTTTATTGAAGGAAATGAGGCAACGTCTGAAGATTCATACGGCGTTTATCCTCAGCACAGCAGCATGAGCATTCGAATGTTGCCAAATTTTCTTTACAAAGTATAGTTATTTTAGAGGAAAGTTTTGAATATTTTCCCTTTAAATTTCCAGGCTTTTTAGATGAAATTACGAACAAACTTCTATGAAAAATCGGAAGGAATATATATAAAAATTTTCCTGAAAATGTGTGGTTTGTCAAAAAAAAAAAAAATTGGCAAAGAAAGGCTCATACAAAGTTCTTACTTAGCACGGCGAACTGATACTCTGAAAAAGCACTGATTTTAAAAGTTCGGAAAATAATTTCCGTGAGCGGGTGCGGACACACCAGATTTTCTTTGAACTTTAAAAAATAGCCTTAGGGGTATGCAATTTATCTCTTGGCCTTTTGCCTTTAGTTTCCATGCAGATAGGTGTTTTTATGGGCGCGAGCCGGAAATATTAGTTACCTAACGTGAAATTTTGTCTACTTGAATTACATGAAAAAGAACCGCGTGCCTAGGATTTTTGTAGCTCATAGTACCTTTTTGTGTAATATATTTTGTCGACCCTCTTACGTAAGGGCACATTTTCACTTCCTTCCAAGTGAGCCGCAGAAACCATGCTTTCTGCCATCATACTGACCACGTGGAAATTGAGGTATGCTGTTACGTCAGAAAAATGACTATTAGTACATACAGATACCATATATTTTAAAGATCCCACTCTGCTATTCTCCCAATATTGTAACATTTACTTACGGAGGTCAACGCGCACCAATCAGTGATACACACATATTGACTTTTACACCAGTTAAATTCGACGTAAAACACGGATAATATCACGGTACCCCTACCACGGTGTATGATGTCGTCCGCCGTGTTTTTTTGGGGGGCAATGTGTCCACTAAAATTGAACTAAAGAGACCATAAATTTGTGAAAATCCAAAATGATACCTTTATTCTACAGTGTAGAAATTACTTTTGGAAATCAACGCTCATCAGTGGCGTAAGTTGATTGCGGGCCCGGCGGGCCTTCCACATAAGCCTGACGCTCAGGTTCGTCTAACAATGACTGCTCACCAGAGAATCGAGCAAAACAGGGTTGGCATCCCCTGCCTAATTAAACAATCACCAATCATCATTACGCGTATTTTATTTTATTTTTGCTCTTAAAGTTGCTCATCACCTCACTAGGCAAAAATAGCGTTGACCTAATGTAACCTTTGCCTTACTCGATTGCATGGCTTAGATTGTAGGTGCTCAAAATATATTTTTTTGTGAACCTAGTTCCATTTTGAGTATAAATACGTCCACATATAGGTATTCAATACTTGACAAGATGGAATGAACGTATGCCGCGTTAAATAGTAGGAGCAGACGTTACGCAATCTGTTTCTAGCGCGGCTCTGTTTCCTCCGTTTTGGCGGCGAGCAGTGACCCATTTCCGTGCCCGAGATCAAGGTCGCGCGTCCCAATATCGCCAACTTTATTCGTCTCGAAATATTAGCCCCCCCCCCTTTCCTTCCCCCATTTTCCCCTCTCCCCCCTCACCGAAATTTCCTAGCCAATCCAAGTCCTATTTAACGGTATAATACGATTGTTTTATCACTGCACCGCGTGATCGCTTCAGTGCCCAGTAAGAAACGCCCATCGTCAACGGACTCGCCGGGCAGATGCGTGGTTTTTGCCTTGTGTAAATATTAGAATGACATATTAATGATCAGATATTGTGGCGAAAATCTAGCGCTTGGGCGGGATAGTTGCAAGATTACGCAAATTATCCGGCAGCTATCTCCATCGCTCATCTTGATTTTATATGGTCTGGTGAGAGGTGGTCATCGAACTGTTGTAAGGTGGTACGTTTTACAAGAGAAAAGCGTGGCCGGATCGGGCGGGGTGTTTGCCCCCTGGAACGAAATTTTCTGTTACTATTTTCAATTTTCCCTCTCTACAAGTGTTTCAATCAAATCTTTTGGGGGCTTTTAAAGTCTTGAAGTGTTTCGAGGTCCTGAAACTAGGATATCAGGGGGATATCAGGGGGTCCCTTACAGTTAAGGATTTAAGGTTTCAAAACGAGGGCATCCGGGACCCTTGGTTTTCTTAGAAACCTTGACCGCCCACAGGCGTACGTAGGTAATTTTGCTAGGGGGTCTGGTCCCTTAGGAAGAGGGAAGAGGGATGATGTACCCTTCAGTTCAGAGGGAGAAAAAATTAATTTTTCAACTTCCAGCAAAAGATTCTTTCCAATTGTTTTGTTATATTCAATAGATTTGGAAAATATTTGACATTTTAAATCTAACTGGAGGCATTCTGAGGCTTTTATGGTGTAAATTTTTGGAGACTAACCAAATGAACACGCTCTTTTCATTAATCAAAAGAGATAATCATTCTTGACAAAAGTTTTTCCCACCATTAATAACTTCCACAGGGGGGAGGGGGGCAGCTGATTTTATTTTCAATTCTAGGGGGGCCAGGTCCCTCCTGCCCCACCCCTCCTCCCTTTGCCCGAGGGACCGCCTTCAATTCACGGAGTGTACAACTCGCAGTGTGCGGGACCTTTCCCCCCTCCCTCCACAGCACCACAGGCCCCTGAGTGCAAATCCGGCCCTGAGGAAAAGGGGCTGATTGAGTAGGTATACACTATACATTATCAATTATGTGGCGAAACTTAGCGCGGATCCACGAGGTGGCGCTGGCGGCGTTACGCCGACGAGACCCCGCGACCTGGCAACGCGGCGGCGGTGGTCCACTTTCTTTTCCAATCCGCGGCCGCGATTCGCCCCGTGCACTTTCGCCGCTCGTCTTCCGCGAATTTACACGCAGCTTCTTCGGCCATCGGGCAGTTGCAACCGAAGCTCCACAACAATCGGATCAAATTTCCACCTAGGAAATGCGAAAACTCTCGGGTCGAGTCTGAGCTTCCACCTTATCGTTGTTCGTTATGTTCCGGGCAAGTGTCTCTATCAATCTTCTCGCATTAGTGAAATCGGAAGATCGCGAGAAAGAGCCCAAACCAGTCGCTTAATCGTCATAATCGCGGTGTTGTGATCGGCGTGTTTCGGAAATTCGTGTTGGAAGTTTTGGAATTGATCGGAAGATTTTAACATGGGTCACGATATTTACAACTACGGCGACCGGCTGAGCTGGGAGAAACTTGGTGGTTGGTTCCTGTTTTTCTTTCTCTCTTCTATTCTTATGTTACAAAGACCGAGGTGTCGGCTGCCGTCAGGATCGCAGTTTTACCCTGAAAAATGACTTCTTGCAATTGCGTGTGAAATATTTCACGAAATTCTAGACATTTTTGAAAAATATTGAAGAATTTTTGATAGTTTTTTCTTTACATCAAGGTGGTAATGCTTGAGATCGCACTATTTCGCAGGGAATGCAAGCCCAGAAATGGCCGATTTTGTCCAAAAATTGGTATTGCTTTCCCTGCAAAATATTGCGGCTCCAGCGCTATTTTTCTACCTCATTTCATATAGTTCGGGTCAGATTTTGTCTCTCTCTTTTTTTGAAAAATCTATATACCTCTTGTCTGAACGCAAAAAATTATATTTTTTAATTTTTTTTATTTTCAGTGGTCTTAAGTGCCTGTTTTATACCAAGCCCCTGAAAAAATGTTTCATATTTTTCACAGTTTTATGAAAGTTCATGAAATATTTCACTGACATTTCCAATCTTTCATTTGTTTTATTTCACTCGTGGAACCTTGCTTGCCGCGCTGAATGAGACAGACCTGCTACGACACATATTGAAACCATGGTTCCTCACGTGGGCAACGTTTATTCCGAGGGAATAAACTTTCTTTGCAAAAAAACGAGGAATACTGACCTAAGTTGATCGGCAAAATGTCACACCATTCTCATAAAGAATGTTTCAATTTGAAATTTTAGTATGTTATTTTCCCTCAAACGACCAATGAAACGTGATAATTCGATTAAAAAATGTATCTCCTTTAAAGAACTTTCCACGGGAAAGGGGACTTCAATGCTGACCCCATAATAATAAACTTTCCCATTTGCCGTAAATAGCGGTGGGATGAGAAACTAATATTGTTCTTTGCCGTTGTAGCATTGCATTTACACCGAAAAAACTCTGAAAACCCCGTCAGCAAATCGTTCGGAGTCAGGAAATTCTCAAATTTTCTCTTTTTTTCAAGTTACATTACGTGAAATTTTCGTTGAACAACTGCATGAAAAAAAGTAGCGTAAAAATGTTATATGATTCTAAAAGTAGCTCATGTCGGTGCAAAGTGCGATAATAATTTATTGCAAAATATGCGACGTTAAAAATTAAAATTTTATGTTATATTCATGTTGGAATCCCGGTTACAATCTATTGAAATTAAGTCACTTTTAAACAGTAAGGTGGCATTTTTACAAGAAAAGCAAACACAAAAGGTCTCTTATCTTGGATATTTAAACAGATTTTTTGAGAGTTTTCCCTTTGAGATTTACGATTTTTTCAACTTTTCTTTTAACACCCGGTGCTACCAGTGTCCACTTACAAAAAGTATGTTTTGAGGTATGTTGGTGGTATGAAATGAGTATTGTAATCATAAGGCACTCCATGGTAGCAAATAGTATAACTCTAACAGCATTCACCAGAGGTATAGTAACTGTTACCAGATATCTCGCTCTCCATACCGTGCGGTATCACGGGGCCAAAAATCAAGTAGATTCAAGATATAGAATTTCACATATATTGCGGCAAAATTTGTCTTACTTTTTTTTAGTGTGATGATCATTTCAGTTATCTAAGTAAGTCTCTAGGTTACCCGTTGCTATCGTGTGGAGTTCAAGTGCACGGCATGTACATACTTTAACCTTTGCTACCAGACGATAAACAGGCTTTATTGATTCTTGAGCGGGTCAAAAGTTATCGGCCATGGCTTGTGCTCACTAATACTGTATTTATGCAAATACGGAAAGTAACGCAAGTTAAGTCCACAACGTGCGAGAAACGTTGTCATCGCGTCTAGCAACTTGCGGAAATTCTTGTAATATCAAGAGGAAGTCCAAAACACCATCTCCGTTCTGTTCCTCTGAATGACGTCCGATTCTCATCTCAGTTTCTCGTGATGAGAATCGGCTTAAGAAAGCTTTTGAATGGCAAGCATTGTATTTTGAAAATATGTTGCTTACTGTGCAAAGCTCGGTCTTCAATTGCTTAATCTAATTTGCTGAGTCACACATTCAAACACCGTCTCGTAGCAAGCTGGCAATTTTTTCCTCTCGTATTGCCCGAAGTCTGTAAGTAAAGTAAGCAGAGGGTTAATACACTTGACCTCTAATAATAATTAACTTCGAATCACCGACATTTTTTGTACCTTATAGGAAAAGCCAAGAGTATTATATTTCCTCTAGTAGTTCATTCTCACATGTTTTATTATTCATTCCTTTTTCATCGCCTTTCTAAAATGGCCAAGACGTTTTGAATAGCAAGAGATTTACTTATATAACTGCAAAGCTAATGTGCCTTCACTTAAGCCTTTAGGTACAAAATGAGCTGAAGAACAATCTTATCTGTGTACCTATTATTGTTAATTTTCCTTGTCTATACTTTGACTTTTGGAGATCATGCATTTTGTATGATTCGGTCCTTTTAAAACGAAATTATTGACAAATTCGGTGTAACTTCACTGAATCATACGCCTCGTCATGTTCGGAGACTGGGCTTTTTCTTAGACAGAATTCGTTGTTCACCGTTGAAGAATGAGGTTCTCACATAGTCTGAGGATTTTTTTTTTAACCATCTTTTTCCATGACAGTTGTGCGACTTGATCAACTGTTAAGCTCAAAAAAAATTCAGTGAACCTCATCTTGGAAATATACATTATGAAGGTTGCTCTTCTATGAACGGGAGGGGGCTTCAAAAGTCGAGGTTGCAATATTGTAAAAATTGGTCTGTATGCATAACATTAATAAAAACAATTTTAAACAAAATTTGACAACAGTCACTTTCTCGAAAGTTTTAGAATATTTTTTTACGGGTAGCATTTTTAAAATGTTTTCGGCAATGCACGAGGAATTGTAATACTTTTGAATTTTTTTTACAAGAAATGTAGTCATCAAAAACATCCTACAAATCTTTACAATGTTTTAAAAATATTGCTGAAATATCGTCGAGTTACAGGGAATACTCGTGTAATCGAGGTGTATCCCCACGACGTTCTCATGAAAAAATGTTGGAAGTCTGCAAAATAATAGGCTCCGGCCTCCTTTGTTTATAATGTCTAGTATGGCTCACGCATTCAGAGCTGCGCCTTTTTCGCATGACGAATGTCAAACTTAATTATATATTTTAACGTGCAGAAAAAGCACAAGTCTGAATATCCATGAGCCATGCTGGTCATTACTAACAACGGAAACCGAGGCTCGCAAGTCTTCGGACCTCCATTCTTTCCGTGTGTCTCGATTCAACTTTAAGAGCTTTTCCCGAGCTTGGAAGTTGAGTTTATGGGCTTCCAGTTGGAGTCTCGTGCTTTTAATTACATAAGAATAGATGATGGCTCAAATCGTAAATCTCTGGAGGCAGAAGCTCTATGGCCATCTTCGCGCATCTGAATACGTCATCCCGTCACTTACAATTAGATTCATCTCGGCGACCACCCTACACGGCGCTGAGCACTCATCTGGAAAAATAATTTGCCAAATGACGAACTTATAAGTGGCGTCTGATTTATCTCCGGTGGGTGATTCGCATCTTCATCTCGATCTATAATGAATCCGATTCTGCAAGCTCCTCGACAGGAAGACACGCTGCGGTCGGAGGAAATTAAAAGCGACGAGGAATCGAAAGAAAGGTCAAACAAATGCCCCCGAGAATGTTCGACTGGAATGACTTGCCGCGCCTCACAGTGGGTCGAGTCAATAAGAGAGGTCGGACAAAATTTACAAACTTTAAAAGCTTATAACTCTCCGTCAAATCAAAACTTTGAGATTTTAAATTGGCTCCATTGATATCCTCGTAAAAATTTCTTCAAGAGGCACCCCTCGAATTTAAAATGTGACGAATTAAACATCAAAATTTGCAGTTTTAGTCAAAAATTTCGTGTCCGTCCGCTCTAATTGACTCGATCCACTGTGCGCCGGTGCCGCTCAAGACGCGAGCCTTGACGTCTTATTCATATGATGTGTCTGCGATCGCAGTGACGACACTAGAGCCGTGGCGTGGCGTGCTTTGCGATATATCGATTGATCTACCTTTTAAACCTATGGAAAAGAATCGATGAACAGGGTGTTCACAACGAACACCCTAATAATCGATTCATTACCACAGCTTCAAATAGGAAAAGATCGATAATCGATCACTTAGGCCTCGCCACTGTAGGATACGCCACAAAGATGTTTTCCCGAAAAAATCCGAATTTCGATTTTGCCTCGGAATCGAGTTTGGAAACTAAATATTAACCAGAAAAACCAGAGCGGCAAACACATCAAAGTATTACCAAAATTCTTCATTCGAGAGCTTACAAAAGTTTGGGGACGAGTCATCAATTTGTCCCCGGAAAAAATATGGTTTGAAGTATTGAAGTATTGAAAATTAAATATCATCCGAGTTTCTGAATTGTTACACTGAGGATACAGATTTTCCCTTTAATCATGGTAAAAACTGGAGCAGACAATCAAGAATGATGACACGCAGTCCTACAGCATTCCGAAAGTCTTGTAGGCGCTAGTATGACTGCACTGCGTTTGGCGTAATGCGAGAAGTATTCATGCTGACTTGTAGACGCTACTATGGGCTGGACGCCGACCGCACTGTTTGGCGCAATGCGTGAAGTATTCATGCAGCCTTGCAGGCACTGTTTTACGTTTAACGTCGGTCACACTCACGGACTGTGTTTGGCGCGATTATTCGATCTCGCGTTAGAATAATCACGGCATGCAATAGAGTTCCAATTACCAAGAGACTGGTAGCAAATGGTGTAACTCTGACCATATTTGCCAAAAGTATACGATAAGGGCTTCCAGACGTCTGATTATCTTTACTCTACCCCACAGGAGCTTAGTTCAACAATCAAGTAGACTCGTTATAGAATTTATCATACTCCTCATAAAATTTACCATACTTTGTTTCAGTGATGAAGTTATTCAACATTTCCATCCGAAAGAGTCTACTTCCATAAGAAGAACGCTTAGTTCGCGTCAAAATTAT